AAACCAAAAGCAATTAAAATCCCAAACCCAAACAAACAGGATTCTGAATAAAACCCGAGACTTCAAATCCCTGCTTTTCCTATCTTCCAAAATGGGTTATTCTCTTTCCTTATGGGGTTCCCACAGGGACAAAAGCAAGTCGATATCAGAAGCCAACCTGTCAAAGCGGTGAGTTTTAGGGGGGCTGCCTGTCACTGTGCTCTCAGAACCCCAATATGGGACCCAGAATAAGGAAGCCACGGGCTCCGTCGCTTCAGTAAGAGCGCCTCACCTTGGATCCGGGCTCCACAGAGACTGACTCACTGCCCGCGCCCCGCCACCCGCCAGGGAAGGGCGTGAGGGCTCCGGTCGGGTGCACCTAGAGGGGAGGCGCTCCGCAAACTCGGAGGGACCTGGCATCAGCTCACCGTGCTAAGCCGCCATCTCACCGGCAATAAAGGTACCTTGATCTTTGGGCGGAGCCGCGCCAGCTGGCTGCTCAACTGAACTACAACTCCCAGAATCCTGTGCACCTAGCACCTCGGCCCCTCCCGGCGCTTCCCAGAGGAGCTCCGGGCGCCTTCTTCTACTCCAGCGCTTAGAGGATGGAGCTGAACGATGTCGCAAATGTGAGAGGTTTATTAGGGAAGGGGAACACAGAAGCAGCTTCTGGGGGAAGTGGCGGGGAGAAGAAAAAGGGCAGAGCAAATTGGCCTTCTATAAGGTGACTCTGCGCATGTGCGGGAGGTAGACGCGTGCTCTGGGGCTGTCTTAAAGCTGTTGCCTCTCCGGACGTGTTCGGGAACCAACACGTGGTTCCTGGCGACTGAAGAAGGTGTTGCGCTGGTGATGATGTGCTTTGCTATTGTCAAGTCCATGGGGCTGATGGCGGAGCTGCCTGATTACTAATACTTAGTGCACCAAACCTCAGGCGGTGGGATCTTCGCCCCGGGTGACTGTATACCGAGATCGCGCGCCTTTACCCATGCAGGCTTTTCGTTTTTCATAAGAGGAAATGCCTGGTTGCTTTCCCGGCTTGTTTGCCTGAACTAAGCTTTCAATATCATTTGTTTGTTTGGAGCTATGGTCCAAAGTGCCTATGGCGGCCAGAAGACAACTTGATAGAGTAGCTTGTCCCTTCATATATGAGTCCAGCTTGGTGGCAGGCATTTCTACCCACGGTGCCGTGTCCCAGCCTCCACTTTCATTAAACTTGTAACTGGGGGCTGGCTTGTAACAACTAACACTTGGCTGTGAAATGACTAAGGTAAGGCCATCTTGTCCTGACTTAATTTTGTGTCGGCCTAGACACTTCTCAACCCCAACCCCACCAGCCACATTCACCTTGGCGACGTTTTGGGGACTGCCGTGAACATGGGCCAGACGTATTTTGTAATGGCTGAAGATACTGTAGAGCTCTTCAGTACCTAGAAAGCAGATATTACTAGACCACATGGATTCCCTCTGTAATGTAACACCCTCCTACCCCAGCCCTGATGTAGTTGTGGTTGTCTTTAAAAGACACCGTACCCCTGAGCTTGGACACCAAGAGTCTTGAGAGGCACAAGCTTGCTTACTCTTGGACTGGCTATTAATAAAAGGACTCAAAACTTTTAATTGGCTTACTTAGCGTGGTTGTAAATAACTAGCTCCTTTTGATCATTTCAGTTGCCCATTTGAAGAGAGATGGTTGTGTGTATTGGGGGTGGGAGGGTTTATTTGGAAAACTGACAAAACAAGGAAAGTGGAAGCTGTGGCCAACAAAGATCGTCTTATCAGGGGATTGTAAGCCTTGTATATGGAGCTTTATGTTCAGAGGCAGGTAAGAGGCACCAAGGTAGCGGTACATTTGGGGTGGTCTACTTCTCCACCCCGCAAAATAGTGACTACTAAAATGAAATCAAAGCAAATGGAGCCAGAGAGGGTTTATTTAGCTCATCTCACTGACAGGCCCAGTGTAATTGAGATAGAGATTTACCTTGGTTGATGTGAAGTAATTAAAGGTGCTTGTGTCAGGCTGCTCTGAGTAAGGAAATGTGGATTTTCAGCCCACAAATTACCTCAACTGAGAAGTGGCCAGGTTCCAGCAGGGTTACTGAATTGGTACTACTGTTAGCCATATCAGAGTGGCCAAGGTAAAACCTTCCTGTCCTAATCTTCAACCCCTACCCTCTGAACTGTCGTTTTGTCAATCAAACTTGCTTACTCTATTCAAAAAGGTTGCTGGACAATTGCAAGACATATATGTTAAAATTAAACCTACCTACACATAGACAAAATACATGTAATTTGGTGGATTTTGCCTTTATAAGCCTTGGACTGATATAGCTAGGTGCTGCATCTTGGGAGTTCTCTCAGGTGCAGTCCTGGCCTCACACTGGACACTGATATCTAAAATAAAAGCCTCTTATTAAAATTTATTTATGGTCATGGTGAATCTCTAAACAATCCGAGATGCCCATTCAAGAATTTCCTTGACCTGGACTATGCATGGCTCAGCTATATAACCCAAACAACTCATGTGTTCTACCAAAACAGATGTTACCAGGTTCCCCTGACCTGTACTTGACAATGATGTCATTGTGGTTTTGCCTAATAAACAGTGTATACCTAAGCTTCAGTGTCAAGAGCTCTTTGGGGACAAGAGCCTGCTCTTGGTCACTGGTTAATAAAGGACTCTGATCTTGCTTTTGATGCATGGTAGTCTGTAACAGACTGCCTACATGAGCTCTGGGATTCTGTAGATTTGTGAATCTTCAGCTAGTGTATCCTCACTTATCTTCCCATGGGAAACTAGCCAATTTGATAACCAGTTTGTATTTACAGAAGATTTGATCCACCCATGTCTCCAGGAACAGGTCACAATGTCAAATTGCCCTTTCTCCAACAGTCCCTACATTTTAGGTAGACCTAAAGCTTCTTGGATAAAAACTCCTTTTCTTATCATTTCTCTTCCTGCCAGTGGGGTGAGAACAAAAGTACATCTTAGGAGAGTTTCTTGTGTTCTTCATGTTGGATGGACCACAAACAAGTTGTCAGGGTTCATGCAAATAAACATGGTAGATGAGTGAGAGAGTAGAAATGTTACGTTAGTCCACAGGGAGTCTAGCTAGGCTTTGGGAAAATCTCAATAAACCAGGCTTGGCCACTTACTCTTCAAAACAAACAAAAAGTAATAGCAGGAAGGAAAAATACATTCAGTTTTGGTGTGGTCATGTTAGGCCCAGCATGAGCCTAATTTCCAGAAGGGATGAAGAGAACTCAGGAGACGGATCTCATCGATGCAAAATTGCAAGAGGTTTATTTTGACCACTGTGCAATGGGGTCACCCCTGCTGGTCAGCAAAGAGTGGCCCTGGGAGACAAAGGCCTTGGGTTTTTAAAGGACAAGGTGCAGGAATTTTCAGGGATTGCAGTCTTGGCAATTCAGGATTGGATGAGATATTTAACTTTTAAAATAATTGGTTGTTTCTGGTCCAGTCAGTCCTGTTGTAAATATCTGGGGAATATCTGATCTTCAAGTCAGTTTGGAATTTCCTGCCATATGAAATATAACCGCAGTTAAAGGTGGGAGAGTGATTAACTCATCCTGTGTCTGTTCTGAGGAGTGGGGGCTGCAGGCTTTGGTCAAAGGTCAGGAGCTATTCAGGAGAAGGATTGGGCCATTTGGCCCAGTTTCCAAACAAAGTTGATCTCACAGGCGCCGGCCGGTGATTTTCTCTCCACCTGGTAGAGATCTCTGCTTGTTCTCTTGCTTATCTCTGCCCTCACAGATGGCCCATGTCAGGAACTTCTACATTCCTCTGTTCTCTGGAGAAGCACTAAGAGGCTTTAATTAACATGGGCCTAAAACTTGAAAATATAAGTTATAAGGCAATTAAAAGAAACATAGGTTACAAGGTTAGTCTGATTCTTTCAGTCACATTGGGAAGACATATGTAAAAGTTGTCTTTGGGTGTCAGCGGCAGATAGCTGTAGGCTCCAAAGGGGAAGGAACAAAGGAAACCTAGAATTTGCATAGCTAGTTATCATAGGTGTAAAATCACTGACCAGTGGCTTGGGCTGATGGCAGAGTCTTACAAGCATCAGACATTGCTGTTGCTGCTGGTAGTACAGACTAACTTTACAAAAGGAAGCTATAAATTGACTTCCCCCTGTTTTCAGGCACTTCTTCCAAAAGTCCATTAGAAGTGTGGATTTGCCTCAGTCTCATTTCACTGATAGTGGCAGAGTATCTTAGACAAATACTAATATTTGACACTCACATTTATTTTGCAGAACTCAGAACTCTCAGAAAGAGTCAACAGATGTGTCAATAGTCCCTTTAATTTTTCTGGACATTATGAAACATTAGGTATTATCTACACACAGATCTTGTGACATTTTTCTTCAAGGTGCATAAATTATAAATATTATGCACATCAAATGTATTCCCTGAAAGTTTTCTGCTTCAAAAGAAACCAAAATGAATTTGTTTAGTAGCATGGGAGAGGCAGCTTCCTCTCAGGTCTAAGAGAAACCCACTTTGATCTACTGGAATACACAAGCCCTTTCCCAGGCCTTACCTTGCAGAAAGCGAATATAGACTCCCAAAGTCAAGGTTGCCTCATACCTGACTTTTAATACAACAAAATACAGGGTTTTATCTGGGAAATAGATGTGTTTGGGTACTTAGGATCTAATGTTTAGTGATGGGGGAGTGAACTAAGGAAGATTTTAAATATCCAAAGGTATTTCATTCAATAGAGAAATATTTTAGGTCTGGAACATTGGGCAGAAAGGGGCCATGTGGAAAGGCAGAGCTAAGTTACATGCAAAATGCAACTCTGATAGTTGCTTCTAGTATCATCCAAGTGTCAAGGTGCCTGTTTATGTTCTTAGCCTTCAGGTGTGGATTCTACCTCAAGTAGAAGTCATCAGAATGGCACTTAGCTGATAAATATCCTTTAGTTTTCCCTTCCTCATTCCCAGTGATGGGTGGGGCCCAAACTGTGTAGTCTGAATGGACAGATACACACCAGATGACAGACACAGGAACTTATTTATTTAGGAGGCTTCTTTGTTACTGTGCAGGGCTTAGTATTTATCTTGAGCAATTAAGAAGGAAGAAATAGAACTTAGAAGTGACTACTGGGATGTTAGAGGCCAGATTGTGAAAACTTAGATAGGAGGTAGACCCAAGCAGGTTTTGAATAGAGACCTGGGTATTCATTTAGATAAACATTTATTGATCACCTAATATTTGAAAGGCACCCTGTAAGACAGAGACCTATTAAATCACACCTTCAAGTGCTTACGATCCAGTTGAGAAGATAATTCAGGCATATAAATTATAAGACAAAACTTAAGAGCATCTTACTGTAGTAGAAACACTGAAGGCAGTCCCATACCAAAGATCTGGCTTCACCTTGTGTTGTCTAGAGTATGTTACTAAATCTCTAAACTTCAGTGTGCTCATTTGTGAAATTCGGACAGCAAAAAGACCTATTTCTCAGCATGAAGATCAGCTGATCTTGTCCTCAAGTAGAACGTGGTTTGAATGAGAATCGCCCTACAGGCTCATATACGTATTTTAATGTCTGGTTCCCAGTTGATGGAGTGTTTAGAAAGGGTTAGGAAGTGTGGCTTTGTTGGAACAGGTGTGCCACTGGGGGTGGGTTTTGAAGTTTCAAAAGCTTGTGCCAAGACCAGTGTGTCTGTCTGTCTGTCCCCATCTCTTGGCCTACTGCTTGTGGATCATATGTAAGCTCTCAGCTACTGCTCCAGCATTGTGCCTATCTGCTGCCATGCTCCCTGCCACGATGGCCACAGACTCACCTTCTGGAGCTAGAAGCAAGCCCTGTAAATGCTTTCTTTTATAAGTTGCTTTGGCCATTGAGTCTCTGCACAACAGAAAAGCAACCAAGATGCCTGGCTTCACTTTGCGTGACCTACAGTATGTTACTTGATCTCTCTAAACTTCAGTGTGCGCCTCTGTGAAATTCAGACAGCAAAAGGGCCTGTTTTACAGATTCAGCGAGAGAATCAGTCATTATAGCCCTTCTAAAAATTCACTGAGTGTTTACTCCAAGGTAAGTGCTTAGTAAGTGCTATTACTACCACTAGTAGCACTAGGAGGATAAATGCTGGGGCACAAGACAGCAAGCTTCTAAAGATGCTTCTGAAGAAAATGCTCTTCTCCCATAACTGTGACACTCCCCTCCTGCCTGCAGCTATTAAAGTACAGTGATAACAGCCTGTCCTCACAAGGTATGTCTGTAGATTCCCCTCCTCTAATACCCATCTAGCCATCTGGCAATCTCTTCAATGTCTTTTGCAGTGCTGGGGATCAAGCTGACGGGCCTCATGCATGCTAGCAGTATTCTACCACTGAGCTACACCCAGCCTCCACCCAAAATGTTGATTCTGGAGCTTCCTGTTGTAGCTTCTGCACTCCACATTGGTTTTGTAGTACAGTGAGTGCACTGTTTACTTAGACATTGGAGCATTGGTGGGGCAGGAAGATCGTCGCCAGAGTTGGCGGAATGAGCAAAGGCTGGATTTGTCGATGACAAGGAGACCTACTGAGTTTCTAGAAAGGCCCTTTGTTTAGCTCAGGCTTCTCCCCTGTTCAGTCTATCCCTTGTTTGGCGTAACGCCTCTGATGCTGAATAACAGAGGACTTGGAACTGAACTCTTTGCCGCACACACTGCACTCAAAGGGTTTCTCCCCTGTGTGAACTCTCTGATGTCGTGTGAGCCGGCACCTCTGGCTGAAGGCTTTCCCACACTCACTGCACTCATACGGCTTGTCTCCAGTGTGTATCTTCTGGTGCTGTGTGAGAGAAGAGCGGTCAAAGAAAGCTTTGCTACAGTCACTGCACTGAAAGCGTGGCTCCCCGGTATGCACTTTCTGGTGTCTGTTTAGGGATGTGACACCATAGAACGCTTTCCCACATTCCCTGCATTCGTAAGGCTTCCTGCCAGTGTGGATCAGCAGGTGGCGAGTGAGGATGCTCTTCTGGCTGAAGGCTTTCCCACACTGCTGACATACATAGGGACTCTCCCCAGTATGAATCCTCTGGTGGCGAGTAAGGGACGACCGGTCAAAGAAGGCTTTGCCACACTCATTGCATTTGAAAGGCTTCTCTCCTGTGTGGATCCGGTGATGCACCGTTAGGGACGACCGGTCAAAGAAGGCTTTGCCACATGCACTGCACTCATATGGGCTCTGTCCTGTGTGGAACATCAGGTGTCTGCTGAGGCTGCTCCTGTGGCTGAAGGCCTTCCCGCACTCAGGACAGTCGTAGGGCTTCTCTCCAGTGTGAGCCCTCTGGTGGCGGATGAGTGAGGAATGGTCAAAGAAGGTCTTCCCGCAGTCACTACATTCCTGGTCTTGATGTTTACTGAGGATTCTCTTGGATGGGGCTGACCTTTGCTGCAAGCTCTTATCCAAGGAAAGGGGTTTCTTGCAAGTCTCTGCTTTAGAACTTTTCTTCTCTGGTTCCAACCCACCTGCTAGAGTTTGAACTTCACGTTTCGGGCACAGAGAACTTCGCTTTCTATAGCTTTCTCTTGGTGTTCCTTCTGAAGCACCTAGGATCTCAGACTTAGTCTCCTGGTCTGCAACGAAGAGAAAACACAGATGCAGTTTCTTCTCTGGACTAGGAGACGAGACAGATGGTATGACAGATGTAAAGGTAATGCCCGGTCACGACACAGCTCATTTCCAAGACAGTTCTTACACTCTGAGAAAGCCAAAAACAGGGAGAAATTTGACAGCAGATTTCTCAGAATACAGGAGAATGGATCTGGGATTGGGGCCAATAGCTTAAATAGGGTGGGCTGAGGAGAGAGCTGGGTGACCAATAAAAATATCAGGCAAAAGGTTGCAGTTCTGAAAAACAGGTTGGTGAATACAGATAAATAATACTTTTTTTTGTTTGGTTGGGTTTTTTGTTTTGTTTTCTTTGTTTGTTTGTTTGTTTTGAGATGGGGTTTCTCTGTATAACAGAGCCCTGGCTGTCCTGGACTTCATTTGTTGGCCAGGCTGACCTCGAACTCACACAGATCCACCGCCTTTGCCTCTCGAGCACTGTGTTCACTACCACACCAGGCTCAGATAAATAATAAAAGTGTAGAAGGGAGAAAAAGAAAACTGATGAATAACAGGAAACAAACATGCAAACAGACAACCTGAATGTGATAGGAGATTCCTAACATGCCTCCCATACACAAATAACAGAAACAAACAAAACTCTGCCCATCCTGTTCAAACCTGGTTACCTAGAGAGATGCTCTCTGGCCATTCTTTTTCCTCAGATCTATGAAGACCCTGCATCCACGGCTCACCCCTTCTCTTCAACTGAAGAATCATATCAGGTCGAGGAACAGGAAGCCCTGCTCATGGAGAAAAAGTAAGTAAAGCAGGTGGCTGCTGTAATGAAAATACCTAACCATTCCAAAACTTAGTCTCTGGCCTCTAAGAAGACTCTTCCAGAAATGCAGAGTGCAGACCAGAGAAACCTGAGGGAAGGTCAGGACTGAGACGCTTGGAAGGAACAAACGGCCAGCACTAGGGTAGTGCCCACAAAAGCCACCTCAACTCACAGGCAGCGAATGGAAGCTTTTCATCTGGACACTGGCAGAATAGAGGCCCTTGGCTCAAGAGTAAGAAAAAAAAATCATCTTGACTGAAAAAGCCTCAGGAGGCTTTTTCAATTTTGTTTGTTTGCTCATTTTTAGCATAATGCTTTTACTGAAATGAGTCAGTTGTGTTCACTGTAGAAAAATTAGGTTATGTATAAGCAAAAGAAAAATTACCTTTCATGCTTTCTATTAATTTTTCTTTCCTTTTCATTTTGAGCTTATATGTGATTCTGTTAAAGACTGGATAATGACGGGTTGGGGGGATGGTTTAGTAGGTGCACCAAGTCTGGTAAAATAGGTTTGCTTCTTATAACCCAAATGATACAAGAGAGAACCAGCTCCCTCCAGTTGTCCTCTGACCTCTACATATATGCTGTAGCACATGGATGCCCCCAGTAAATAAAGAAAAATGCAATAAAAATAAATGTTTATAAGAACTTTACAAACCCTGATAATGAAATACTACTGACTGTTAAACTGAAGTTCATTTAATGTAATACATTTAAAACATTAATTTTAATTAGCACAGATCTTCTACAATGTTTTAATGGCTATATAATAGTGTATAGATAAATAATTTAGCAAATCCCTACCAAAAGACAGTTTACTGGTTTTAATGTTTTGCTATTCATGTACAGCAGTGTGACAAATGTCTCCTGGTATGCTGTATGAACTGGTAATCCTATTACATTCCTTGGGTCAATTTCTAGAAGCAATCATATCCACAGCCACATGAACAAAGTTAGAGCTCACTCCTGGAAACACCTGAGCCCTATGTTCCCCATGCATGGGTTCTACTCCGGGAGACGGGTGCTTTCCCCTGCCTGAGAAGCACCTGTGTGCTGTGTGCTGGTTCTCCTCTGACAGACTGGCCACTGTCATCCCTTCTGTGGCTTCTGGGCTCTGACCTCAGGAATTCCATACTGTCTAATATTATCACTCTTCCAAAACCTCAGGATCTTCTGCAATGCCAACTGAACACTCTGTTCTGTTTGGAATATGACTTTGCCTGCTTAAGCTAATCCAGAAGTATTTGTGTATGTGTGTAGGTATTAAACAGAAAGCCTTGCACATGCTAGGAAAACACTGTAAAACTTAGCTACATCTTCAGCCCAATATGTGCTTTTATATATAAATCGGCAATGTGAACTTGACTGTTATCTGCTGTTTTAGCTTGTTTCTGCATCTCTGTACTCCTGCTTCCAAAGTGGCGAAGGTACACACTACTGTGCTTGGCTTCAGACTCTTATTCTAGAAGCTTCTGAGAGTTCCTTGTTACCTAGAGGGACTTCACTTTACATCACTAACAGCTGACATCAACAATAACTCTTAATTTCCCCTTTGTCACATAAGTGTAATTACAAAGTACCTTTTATAGGTATCTAAGATTGTCATTAAAACAAATATTCAGAATCAAGCACATTTCTGATAACCTTTCTCCTTTTCACGGGTTCAAAGGAAGCTCTGGCTTCCATGAAGGGATTTGATATCTCCACTCACCAAGATGGTTCCTTATTCTGCCAGATGGAACTGAGGGCATTACTTGCTGGCATGCCAGAAGACATGGACCTATTAATTCTTCTGCTTGCTGCTTCCAGAAAGCCAGATCCCTACGTACAACACAAATGCTCTGCTCTATCCTTTAGACTGCCTTCTGTTGCTGAACGAGGAGGCCTGTGGTTTCTCAGTGCTGGTAACATCAGGGCAGCCATCTGTCCAGGGCTGGGTTCACCAGCTGTGCACCTAAAGCCACCTCCTTTGGCTCTTTTGCCTGTCTAGTGGCTCTGAACTCAGGTAGGGGTTGAAGAGGTGATCCTCAGCCCATGTGACCCACTCTGGTTCGGGACAAGTTCTGACTCCTCACAGAAAGCCTCCTTACCCAGTGAGATGATACTCTCATAGTTTTCCAGCATCACTGCCTTGTAGAGTGCCCTCTGCACAGGGACCAGACACCTCCACTCTTCATCTGAGAAAGTCACGGCCACATCTTCAAATGTCACTGATGCCTGAAAACACAACCACACTCTCCCTTATAACCCTTTTCTTTCGTGTTGACTGTTTTGTTTTTCTTAAGACAGGCTCTAAGTCTGAGTGCTCTATAGCATGCACCGCACACTCCAGCCTAAGCCAGCCCTCTTTGATATATGGGGGCTGACTCTCAGTCCAGAACTGGCTGCACCAAAGGGACGGTCAAGACAGAACCACTGATCCTAGAATCCTCCAGCAGATCTATTCTGTCAGCTTTTGGGAAAGTCAGGTAGAGCAACAGCTACAGGTGTTCTAAGCTTGGTGACAGGCTAGCAGTAGGCACAGGCTCAAGGTGCTGAAGATCATTTTACTTTGGAGCCTTTCAATGGCTTAGGGGTGGAGGGTTGTGAAAGAAGACTCTCAGGATAAAGAGGGTGATTACATGTTGGCAATTAGTAACAGTATTTTAGAGAATAAAAAAAAGTCCTCCTCACCTGACATCTCGTAGGTGGAGACACAGCAGCCATTCCCTTCTATGCTGTTCTGGTAGGGAAGGACAGAGTCCTAGTGAGGAAGAAGTGTGGGAGTAGAGAAGGTATGAGAATAACCAAACCCAGGGTCTTCTGATCCGTGTGGCAAGGCCTCTCCATATACCAGTGAGCAATGCAACCACCTTCATCCCCATAACCTTACAAGGAGCAGTCAAAGCAAGGCCAAGGGCACACCATGCTCATTCTAGAGTGAGAACAAAAGCTGTGGATATTGAAACTGCAGTGCAGTGTCTGCTAGCCCATCATCTTCAGGGTAGAGTTCTGTTCCTGCGATTCAGAACACAGTAAGATTTATATATTCACACTTAATATTGCCCTGAATGTTTACTGAGAAGAAGAAACCATAAGTAACTTTACAAATGACTATATGCATAAGACAACACCTCTTCAGAGGAGTAGCATTCCATTTACTGCATCCATGCCTGATGCTTCTCACTCTTAAGACATCTCACTTCTAGAACTACACTGGGCAATTAGTAACTAGTAGCTCTACTAGAGACATCCTAGTTTGCTTTCTCTTGCTTTAATGAAACACTGACCAAAAACAACTCAGGGAAGAATGGGTTTATATGGCCCACAGATTACAGAATATTACCAAGGGAAGCTTAGGCAGGAACCTGAAGGCAGAAACCGAAGCAGAGACCTAAAGGAACACTGCTTACTGCCTTGCTCAGCTATCTTCTTATACAGCCCAGGCCTACCCTCCCAGGGGTGGCATTATCCACAGTGGGCTAGGCCCTCCTATATCAATTGGCAGTTAAGAAAATGCCCCACACAAACATGCTCACAGACCTGTGGAGGCAGCTGAATTGAGATTCTCTCTTCCTGAGTATGTATTCAGTTGACAAAAACTATGACAGATATGGTCCGGGATGAAAAGATCCTTCTTTGTGAACATGAATTTTAAAGTGTTGGGACATTATGCAAGCGATGAGGCAAAAAGATATCAGGAGGTGCTGAAGTAATCACGGGACCAGGAGTGCAGAGTCACCAGGAGACAGAACCAATGGTTGTGGCTCACAGTGGTGGAACACTGGCGCTCATGGGCAGTGCCAGATGAGTTAGGGAAGTGAGCTCCAGTTCCGTGGATTTCCGGAAGACTCTTCTCCTCTTCGACCTCCCTTTGCTTGGGTTAGCTGAATGGATCTCACCGTCTCACAGTGAAGAGTCTAACTACAGACTGGTAGGTGCGGTGGTGCGTGTTTGCAGTCTCACCGCTCCCTTAGTCCAGGCTGGAGGGACCGAGGGAGAAGTGCTGCAGCTTTCTTGGCACAACTGGGGTCTACGGTTTTGATGAGAGGGAGGAGCAATATTACAGGCAGGGAAAGCCTGAGTCTCGAATAAGTAAGAGGCAGATCTTTATCACATAAAGAATTACAAAAGAAAAAAAAAAGATTTACTTAGGGGCTGGAAAGGTGGCTCAGAGATTAAGAGCACTGGCTGTTCTTCCAAAGGTTCTGAGTGCGATTCCCAGCACCCACAGGGTGGCTCACAACCATCTACAATGAGATATGGTGCCCCATCTGGTGAGCAAGAATATATGAAAGGCAGAATACTGTATACATAATAAATCTAAAAAATAAAATAAAATAAAATAATTACTACTGAGATTAGATATGGGGAGACTTAGTCATGAGCAACACTGGAGGGAAGATGAACATGGAGAAGCCAGCAGAGGTCAAACTACATCAAAAGGTGCTTTGGGAGGGATTTCAGCATAGTTGTGTCCTCATTAGATATGTACTTTAGGAATGATATGTACATTGGGATGAGTAGCAAGGGCCTTTAAACAGTCTCAGATTGGCCAATTCTCTTCTGGAATTTATTCTAGAAACATGAGAGAATAGTTACAATGCTTTTAGTTAACCATCACCAACATATCTTTATTGAAGGTTATCTGCCAGCCAACTTCCTAAGCACATTATATATATATATCGTCTGTTTTAACCTTTAAATAATGCAACTAAAATCTAAACTCTTCTAAGCATCTACAACAGAAAACTTGCTTAAATAATTTATTGTCAAGAGGACAGACACACAATGGAACACTATTAAACATCATCTTAACTAGTATTTTGAGCACTTGTTCTCATGAGGCTTTATGCTAAGTGCTCCTTACAAGTATAATTTAATTCCACCCTTGTACATCAATAACAGGTACTATGTCACAGCAATTAAGGCATTCAGGCTTTGGAAAAGGCTGAGGAAAAAGCCTCCCTGGAAGCTTTTAATTCTATGTTATAATTTATTTCCATTGAAAGACAGCCACAAAGTTAAGCAGACTAAAATAGAAACGCCTGCAACACATCCCAGCATTTTGGGAAGCCTAATATGCATAACTGAAATTTCATAGAAAACAGAAGTATGGTGACATACACCTGTAATGCCGGCACTTGGAAGGCTGAGGCAGGAGGACTCCTGGCTTACCACCAGGTGAAGTTACAAAATAAGACTGTATCTCCAATGTTAAAAAAAATACCAGGGAAAAGATCACTGGTAAACTGCAATCAACCTCAGTAGAGTAATAGACAACTGGTCATCAGACGGACTTCCAGACATATGATGATTACTGGTGGTTTGGTCTTAAGTTGTGTTTGACTTTTGGTCAGAACGTTACCTCTAGAATTGCAAAGTTTATTTGTGTTGATCTCATTTAAAACCCACAAAATACCCTGCATGGTGGGTTTTACCCTGATACTCTGGCTCTTGTAAGGGCTCAGTATAGTTCCTTCACCCTTATGTCCCACTATTTCTTGACAGTGCACTCCAGTCAAAATCGTCTCAAATCTGCCTAAAGCCATTTGCCATTTCCTTTGGGGTTTTCTTCACATCAAATCCGGTATCCTCCATGAGCATCCTATGCTCACGCCAGGATATTCCGGCGCAGGCTCGGGGCGAGAAGCTGACCTGGGGGACTGCATGAGAGTGGAGTGGTCGCCAACATCCATTATGGAAAAAAAGAAGACTGGGACCTCCAACTTGGAAAGTATTGGATTCTGACACAGTGGACGTACCCCACAAGGACACTGATAGCAGTGCCTATGTCCGTGCCCCACGGAATCTATGCACACAGGACCGGATGGCTCTCGGTCCGCGGCTCTCGCGGAACCTCGGTCCGCCAGGACACGCCCACTAGTCCTCCCCCAAGTCCCCAGAGTCCCCGTCTTTCCGACACTGCGTCCAACGGCGTCTCGAAGACCTAGACCCGCAGCCCTCACCTTCGGCAAGAGTGCTGGGAACCTGCGAACGCCTCACCGCCTCCGGTCGGGAAGGCAGTGCGCCTGCGCGCTCGACCTCTGAGCTCCAATCAAAGTGCTGCCCTCGCGTGGACTCCATTTCCCAGAAGTCTCGACAGCCGGCGCGCTGAAAGATGACGTAAAAACTAGCAGAAAGTTGCACTCCAGATCTGTGGTGCTGAAATGGATGGGACGGGGGTGGGGGGGGGGGGTGGTGGTGGTGGTGGTGGTGTGTGTGTGTGTGTGTGTGTGTGTGTGTGTGTCTGTGTGTGTGTCTGTGTGTGTGTGTGTCTGTGTGTGTGTGTATGTGTGTGTGTGTGTGTGTGTGTGTGTGTGTGTGTGTGTGTGTGTGTTACTAAACCTGGAGAATAGCTATCAGGAGAAGGAGGACCTGAGCAGAGCAGCCGGGAGGAAGGGCCTAAGATAGTACAAGTCCGATTTCTGGTTCGTTTTCGGTTTGCCTATCTTTTCTGAAAGCCAGGGTTCCCGGTTCTTAGTCGCCTTTCAGTGGAGTATCCCAGATACATGAGCCTAGAAACATACCTATTACAGTCTTCCACCAAGAATTCTGAGGTGGACGGGATGTCTCTGCCTTTAATCCCAGCACTCCGAAGGCAGAGGCAGGCGGATCTCTGTGAGTTCGAGGCCAACCTGGTCTCCAAAGAGAGTCCCGGACAGCGAATGTAATACAGAGAAACCCTGTCGAGGGGAAAAAAAAAAAAATCTTAGACAGTTCTGTTTTGGTCAGACCCTGGATTGGGTGTGTGCTTGTTAAGACAGGGCCTCTGTATGTAGGAACTATACAGGCTTTAAACTTTTTAGCTCAGTGTGTGTGTGTCAAGGCCTCTATGTAGCCCTAGGAGGCCTGAACTCTGCCTCTCTAAGCCCAGCATCTGTCTCCTGAGTCATTATTGGTAAAAATAGAACTGTTGGGATTTTCATTCTTTATAAGAGCAGGCTGGCCTCAAACTCAGAGCTCCACCTTCCTCTGTTTCCAAAGTACTTTAAAGTGTGCACTGCCCTGCCTGTCAAGTTTCTAGGGAAAAGACTCAATTTGTAACAGAGAAAAAAGTCAACTACTGAATCTTCATTTGGCCCCAGGATATCTGGATTTTCACTCTCTCTGACCTAAGAGACAGCTTTGGGCTTTTCTGGGACTAACTAGGTATTGCAGAATACGGATTGCAGCATTTAAGGAAACAGCCAGGCCAGTCTGTGGGAAACTAAATGAGAGCTCCAAACCTTTGTAATCGAGGTACCAAAGATTAGTCTTTTGATGGGCTTCCCAAGAGGGACAGGCTTTCAACTATACATCACCAAAGCAGGGTTGATAGCAATCCTCACTGGACCACTGGGTATTGCAGGTGGTCCACAGTATACCTATCTGAACAACTAGACCCTGAAGCCCCAGATGACCCCAGTATCTGCAGGGACTGACAATGACTCTTTAATCTCCCATTGCTATCTCTACACCTCCTTCCTAAAAAAAAAAAAAAAAAAAAAAAAATGATCTCTGTAGCTATCAAGTAGGTCCCTCCAATGTCAGTCTTTCTTAAATAGAACCTAGAGTTTCAAAGAAGTGAATTCTTCTACTGAGTAAATACATACCTCCTTGGTGTTACACACTTATGCTGCCCTCTAGAAGGAAAGAGGTTTACTGAACTCCAAGTGCAGTTCCTTCAAGTATTGACCACAGGTTTTGTCTCTCATGCACAACATCCCAAAACTCTCCAGTGTTACCATGTCTGCTACACAGAATACTAAAGGGATGGCTTACTCCTCAATGGAGGGAATAGATTACATCACTAGACTGCCAAGGTGCCCTAATTTTTGTTGACCTCTTTCCCCTCTGTCAGTCTGATGGATCCCTTGGAAACCTCAGTCAGTGGAGAAGGCGACTGTGAAAGGGTTCTTCTGTAATCCCAAAGGATGGCTACATACAGAAATCCTCAACTGCAAGTAGTCAATGGAAGCCTGTAAACGAGCTCCATGATACTTTGGTTGGACAAGGTCAAGAGGAACACTTAATCACCTGTTCTCAGGAAAAGGACTCTTCCAGTCTGTTCCCAAGTTCCCACGGGCTGCAATGGCCCTTTGTAACCACCCACAGACATAGTCAGTACCCTAAGACAGATTTAGAAGATGCAGTTCACTGACTTCCCACCTACCAAGTCTTCAACTGCCTATTGGTCTTCATGGATACCCTCACTTTATGAACTGAAGCCTTTCCAGCCCATACTGAAAAGGCTTAAAAAGTAGCCAGCCCACTTTCAGAAGTGTCGGTGGAGAGATGGTTTTTAGCAGGCCTTTACTAATGGCAGAGAACTTGCAAGTCCATCTCCTTTTGTTTGTGACAGCAGGTGGGATAGCTTGTGAGGGTCACACCTCTTCCTCTAGCTCCTTGTGCAAATTAACCTATTGTTCTGAGATGTTTCTACTCTGGCTCAGAAACTCTACAATAAAAAGACAGTTACGGCAGGAGAAGGCTAGAGACAGAGGAGAAGGCTGGAGACACACAGTGAAGGCTGGAGACAGAGAAGAAGGCTGGAGATAGAGGAGGCAGGCAGAGACTTGAGGCTTGCTGCTGACGCTGCTTGCTGCAGCAGTCTGCCTTTTGCCGTGCATGTCGGGAGCCGTGACTCCAAGTGGCCGGCTTTGATACAGAAGCAATCGCCCCCCCCCCCCCCCGTTTTGAGCTCTCTTAGATTCTCCAGGTGTTTCAAACCATGGGCAAGGCATTAGCAAATACTCACAGCTTACCTGAAAACCACTGCCTTGAATTATATCCCGAAGAAGCTAATGAAGAAAACCCCTGTGTTATTTCCTATTGACGTGACAAAACACCATGACCAAGGCAACATAGAAATAGTTTATTGGGAGCTTTACTATTTCAAGATGGGGAGTCCAGGATCATCATATGCGACTCATTGGGGGCAAGCAGAGATAGTGTAAAGCCATGAGCACCTGAAGTAAAAGCCATGGCCTAGCCAGACGTGGTGACTCACGCCTTTAATTCCAGCACTCGGGAGGCAGAGGCAGGCGGATCTCTGTGAGTTTGAGGCCAGCCTAGTCTACGAGAAGAGTCTAGGACAGCGAAGGCTATTACACAAAGAAACCCTGTTTCAAAAAAACAAAAAACAAAACCAAAAACAAACAAACAAACAAAAAAACAAAACAAAAATATGGCTTAGGGCTGGAACATGGTGTTTGAACAACCGCTACCATGAATAGGCAAATGCCTCTGAAATCAAAGGCAACATAATATTTAATAAACTTTAGACTTTTACAGAGTTTGATACGAACTTCCCAAACTTTTGTCTCATTCACCCCCTGGATCCTTCCTGCTGTTCCCGGACCCTTTTCCCGGCTCCGCAGATTTGGCTTTCCTATGACAGGACAACCGGTGGTTGTACCTGACGATTTGGCTACTATCTTGAGGAAGGAGTCAGAGCTAGCCCCGCCCTCTCTCCGCCCCTGCCTGGGGTCCTAGCGCGAGGACCCCATAGAGCTGTCCGTGGCTGAGCCTGACTCAGTTGTCTTTGTGGTCTATGTGGACAGTCTCCCGACCCCCATGTCCGCTGACTAGTATTCCTCGCGTCTCAGCACACCTCCTTGCGCTAATGTTTAACGTCTGGCGAGGCGCGGCCACGGCCGGTTGCGACAGGCGGTGGAGAAGGCGGTCCCAGAGACCGGCAGCGTCGCCGCTCCGGCTGCAGCATGGCGGCGGCCGTGCGCGCGGCGGGCTGTCTCTCTGCCCTCTGTACCGTGCCGGCAGGTAAGCGCTTGGATGCGGACCGTAAGCGTGCACGAGCAGGGGTCTTCCCTTCGGGTCTGAGGGGTCCCGGCTCGAGGGCCGCGAGGAGTCACTGGGCCCCTGATCCAGGACTCTCAGTCGGCTCTGGCGGGCTGTGTGACCTTGCGCACCTCTTTCCCTCTCTGAGATTACAGCGGGTGAATGGGCCCTGTGCTTCCAGCCAGGGAAACTGCTCGCGCCCACTCGGTGAGGGGGAGCGGATGTAGCAAGCGTCCCTGTGGTTCGTAGGATGATGTCAGTCTCGCCTTCGAGCCTGAGCAACGAAGCTCAACACTAACAGGACCGCTCTCTTGCCGAGTCTGTTAGATTAACTAGCTGTCATTTTAGCTTCCGGGCCGATCCGTTTGCCAGAAGGTACTTTGGCTGTCACCGTCTTGCTCCCGCCCTGCTCAGCTGTGTGCCGATCCCTAGCATAGTGTTGGCCTGTAGGAATGGCTTCGCGATGGACAGTGTGCTGCTTTATTAGGCCCACGGCGCAGGTCCTGAAAGTTCCTTTTGTTGCAAATATTTGACCTGAAATCACTTGGTGGGACCTGTGGCTGGAGCCTCCGTTTGTTTTGCCGGCGTTGAAACTATCTCCTTAAGGCCTATGTAAATAATGAGTTGTTGCTTTCTGTCACAAGCGCCTACCCTGTGCCAGAAACGGTCTTAAGCTATTTATGATTTTATTCCTCCATTTCCTCCTCACCAGTGCCTTGATGATTCTGTTGTGTTCTCATACCACCCCCACCCGCCTTTGTTTTTGAGAGAAAGTGTCACTGTGGTCTCCCAATTTATAAGACTCCTATATCTGCTCTTAAACGCCGGAGTTACCGTTGTTTACTGTCAGACTCTGCCTCCTTATTCTTGTTTTATAGATGAGGGAATTACAGCACACAGAGACGAGAAAATTGCCCATAGATTAAGATTTAAAGTTTAACACCCATAATAACTTGCTTCATTCAAGTCCTGTCCCTGACCCCGCTCCCCTGCCCGTGTAACTCCCCCTCTTTTTCTTTTTGGTAGCAGCTTTATTGACTTATAAATTAGTACCATAAAATTCAACTATCTGAAGTGTATACTTGAGCATTTTTTTTTTTTTTAGTATTTTTGTAGACCAGTGCATCTGCCATCACAGTTAGTTTTAGAACATTTTCATCACTTCAAAAGAAAAAAAAACAACTACTGCTTAACTCTTGCCTCCACCTCCCCCATCTCTCACTAGTGCTCAACACTATGTAGCCACGGCTCTATTTCCCATCTGGCTATAGCTTGCCTGTTTCAGACTTTTTTTTTTTTTTTTTTTTTTTTTTTTTAATAAATAGAATCAAAAGATAGCTGGTCTCTGTGACTGGCTTCTGCCGGTAATGCAGTGTTTGCCAGGATTTGATCATGCTGTGACATTCCAGTCCCATGTTGCTTGTGACCCAATAATACTCTTGTGTCAATATGCTACAATTTGTTTATCCATGAACATTTGAATGCTGTGTTTTTGTCTGTGTCCATAGCCGTCCTCTGTGTATTTCCTGAGAGTGGAATTGCTGGTTAAAGTGATAGCTCCATGTTTAACTAAGGTACTGCCAGGTATTTGTGCCATATTCCAGCCCCACCAGCCCTGTGGAGGGGTTTAGTTTCTCTTTGCCAGCACTTGTTATTATCTGTTGTGTTCAGATAGCCAAGCTAGTAGTATGGCAGTGTACTAACTTTGTGGTTTGTGGTTTTGATTTTTTTTTTATTTTTATTACATATACAATGTTCTGCATGCCAGAAGAGGGCACCAGCTCTCATTATAGATGGTTGTGAGCCACCATGTAGTTGCTGGGAATTGAACTCAGGACTTCTGGAAGAGCAGAGTGGTTAAGTGCTCTTAACCACTGAGCCACCTCTCCAGCCCCGTGGATTTGATTTCTAATGAGCCTGTTTTCATATGCTTATTAGCCATTTGTGTATGTTCTTGAAGAAATGTCTTTTCAAATCTTTTGTCTCTTTGTGTGTGTGTGTGTGTGTGTGTGTGTGTGTGTGTACACTGAGAATGCCAGTCTGTGGCCTGAGGGTGGCTGTGAGTGTGGCCCAGTACAAAATTGTAAACTTTTTAAAAACATTGTAAGATTTGTGTATATGTATGTGTATTAAAGTAGCTTTTATTTGCCTGATGTAATTGTCATCTCAGAGGCTTACTCCCTCGTTCTGCTAACCTAGGCCTAGTCCTGGAGGCTTCTAACCTCCCTACAGTCTTTTCTAGGCTTAGAATGTTTCAGCCTCTGAAACTTACTGCTGAATAAGCTCACCCTGTCTAGCTCTTTCTGAACTCTGGCTTGCTGGTTCGACTCAGTTGTACTGGCTCAAACTCCTCTCCTAGCTGACTGATTCAGTCTGGCTTTTCTCTCACCTTCTGACTGAATTGCTCTGTTTGACAATATGTTCTAATCTTCTGGCTCCTTTTCATTCTCTGGCTTGTTCTGTTTTCACCTGTGTTTATCTTGTTCTCTCTTCAACCTGTCTCTAAAACTCTCCTGGTAAAAAACTGCCTCGATTCCCCCTACTGCCATAAATACAACTCCACTGCTCTGCCTCTCAACCCACTGATTCAACCAACTTACTGAATAGAACTCAGAGACTCAGAGATCTGCATGCCTCTGTCTCCTAAGTGCTGGGACTAAATGCATGTACCATTTGAGAAGCTGAGGCACTATCATTTGTACATGATATGTACTATCATGCCTGGATCTAAGCTTTTCTTTACCTTAAACTTGCTCTATACCAGGCTGGCCTTGAACTCAGAGATCTGCTTGCTTCTGTCTCCTGGGATTAAACTCGAGGCTGTATGCATTCCAGCCAGATCACACAGACGTATAAGGTCTTTGGACATGATCTCTTGCCAGAGCAGCTACGTTCTGAATTAAAATCCCCCCTTCCGTGTGTGTGTGTGTGTGTGTGTGTGTGTGTGTGTGTGTAACTTGATTGTGTGCTTCTTGACCATGAACTCTGTAGATTAAAGGTCTGTGTCATGTTAAGCCAAGGTTGGACACCCCTGCTATCATCTTGTGCCTGCTAGGCAAGTGCTGTACCACTGGGCTTTAAGCACCCATGTTTGAAGACGTGGTACCTATCTGTGGAACAGTTTGGGAAGGTTAGGAGTCGGAACCTTGCTGGAGAAAGTGGGTCATCAGAAGTGGTCTGTGAAGCTGTATAGTCTGCCCCCACTTCCTGATCACCTGCTTCCTGGGTGTGGATGAGAGGTCCTGCCATATTGTCTGTGTTTGCTGCCATGTCTCCTCCACGTTGGATTGTATCTGGGATTGTGTGCTGAACAAAAAGAACCCTTTTTCCCTTGAGTTGCTTATGCCAGGATGTTTTATCACAGAAACAAGAAGTAAATTTTTTTTTTTTTTTTTTTGAGACATGTCTCAATAACTTGCCCAGGCTGTTACTGAAATCACTCTCTAGCCCGTGCTGGGCTTGAACTTTTCAGCCTCTCTAATAGCTGGTCTGTGAGCCTGCTTTTTGTCCACTTTTCAGTTGGGTTGACCTTTTTATTATTGCATTGGAGGACTTCTTTGCATTTTCTAGATATAGGTTTCATGTCAGATATATAATTTGCAAGGAAAAAAAGTATTTTTTTTTTTTTTTTTTTTGAGACAGACTCAAATTGTGTAGTCCTGGCTAGCTTGGAACTCACTATGTAGACCAGGTTGGCCTCGAATTCACAGAGATCAGCCTGTCTCTGCTTCTAGACTGGGATAAAAGGTATTTGTCACACCTGGCTCATGAAGAAACATTTTTTATCCCATATTGCATGTTGATTTTTTAAGTCCCCCACAAGGTTCTCACTATGAATGTGGTCTAGCCTCAGATTCACAATGATTCTCCTGCCTCAGCTTCTCAAATGCTGATATTGTAGATTTGTACCACTATACCTGACATTAATAGTGTTCTTTGAAACATAAATTTTTGTCTGTGAGAATCCAGATCCTAGTGCATGCTAGGCAAATGCTCTACTACCTAGCTGTTTTCTAGCCTTGAAACACAACACATTTGAAATTTTGATGGTCTCATTTATCTATGTTTTTTTCCTCTTTCTCTTTTGGTAGGGGGTGCTTTTGGTGTTATATGTAAGAAACCACTGCCAAATCCATGGTTGTGATCTTTTATGTTTTCTTTTAAGAGTTTTATAGTTTCGACTATTGCCCTTGGCCAATTTGGGGGTTAGTTTTTATATATGATCTGAGGTAGAGCTGCAACTTCATTCACCCGCCTGTTACTGCCCAATTGTCTCCATGCATCAGTGTCCTCACCACTGCTGTCAGAGCCTGTTCTAGAACACACTAACTGAAGGTTGGAGGACAACCAGAGGGAGCAGGAGTGGGGATCTGGGAGGCTTCACCTGAGCTGATGTGAACAAGACACTTTCTTCTGGGGAGAAACAACACACAAGCTTTATTCACCTCAGCTAGGGAACCGCAAGAGAATGCCATGATGATTCTCCCAAAGTCTACCTCAGCGAATCAGTGAGTTCTCCTGGGATTGTTTGCAGGAGTATGTGTAAGGAGTTACCAACAGGAACAAGCATACTCAAACGCAGCTGCATTGGTGACAAGCCCACTCTGACGCAGCTCATGAAAGCTGCATTACCAGAGCTCTTTGCAGGACTTGCGTGCCCCTCAGCAACCAAGAATCTCCAGGCAACTCTGTTGGTCAGAGCCCTGTCCCCAGCAGCTGTTTACTGTTCTTACTGTCTTGTGGTGAGGTCCTTGTGAATCTTACATGTTTCTGCCTTCTTGTCACCTGAAGTGCCTCTATTATTCCTGCACTCTCATGAGCCTCTCCCTCTTTCCTGAAGGGAGGATTTCTATTCTAAGGAAGTTACTGAACACCTTGTGCCAGCGAGCCGGGAGAAACAAGTCTGCCAGAGCAGGGTCAGTTCAGACCTAACTACAGATCTGGCAAGCTTAGAGGGAGAATGTAGGAGAGAGGGACATCAGGAGACCAGACTGGAAGCCTGGGCCATGTGGCCAGCCTGCAGGATGTGCTGAGGGATTGTTTTACTCATTTTTTGACACAGGGTCTCATTTACCTAAGCTGATCTTGAACTTGCTATGGAGCCTAAGCTGACCTTGATTCCAGATCCTTTTCTCTCCATTGAGTCCTGGGTTTGTAAACACAGTTTATGCTGAAGATGTTTTACTTTGTTTTTTAGCAGACGAGGGAACCAAAGAAGAACCTGTCAGGGCTTTGACGTGCCTCTGTCTGATATGTTGGAAAGATGTTGAGTTAGAGAGGGCAGGAGTGAAACCTGCTAGGAGATGAGTTATCCTGTGCCTGACCAATGAGGAGGCATTAGCAAAGAAGGACCGGCAGGGACAGCACAGGGTACAGGTGACAGATGGGTTGGCATCCGAGGACATTTCATGAGACTTGGAAACTGGGTGGGTTGGAGATGAAGGGTAGAGATGAGATGCCATGCTACTTGGCAAGTGGCCGTGGAGCCCTGAGATGGCTTACTCATTTGCCTTAATCCTGTTCTGTAGGTGTCAATATCTCATGGGCATTACTGCTTAAAATGCCCCTTTTCATGTAGGAAAGTATCTTAAACATACCCTTTTCCTCCCAATTTACAGGTCATTTCCTGTCTAGGCAGCTATCTTTAAACACCTTTCCAGCAGCAGCTGCTTCCTTTTTGGCAGTGAAGACAGCTCTTAGCCACGGTAAGGTTCTACCACCTCTCTGTTCTTCTTTTTTTTTTTTTTTAATATTCTTTAAAAATTTATTTATTTGTGTATGTTTTTTTTTGTTTTTTAATGTTTTTAATGTAATTTGTTTGTTTTGTTTTTTAATCTATCCACATGTATACCTACATGCCAGAAGAGGGCATCAGATCCTTTTATAGATGGTGGTGAACCACCATGTGGTTGCTGGGAATTGAACTCAGGACCAGTGTTCTTAACTGCTGAACTATTTCACCAGCCCACATCTCTGTTATTTTAAGATTTATTTACTATAGAGTAGTTCTGTTACAGGGGCTTTGGGTGAAGGTGGCCATCTAGGGCGCTGCCAAAGCTTTCATATCTACTGATACATGCACTAATTTTCTTCCCCAGGGTCAGCTGTAGTTATAGCGTCTTGTATGTGCTTTTGGGGTGTGCAAGACATACTCATAGTCACACCTGTTCTGTTTTTAAACATGAGACAGGGTACTCTGCACACTGGTGTTTTGCTCTGCTGGGACATTTGCGGATCATTGCACACTCCCTGGCTCACATGGCAGAGGGCGCTATCTTTCCACAGTAGGCTGTGCGCTGGTGGATGCTGCATCCATTGTTTGGAGGAGAAGCAGCTTCTCTGACTAGCATGGCCATTTAGATTATTTTGTTTTGAAGATGTCTTGAAATTTGATTTTTGTAAAAAATAGGCTTCTTTTAGTTAAGTCTGTGTGTCTTCATCAGGTGGAGTGTGGGTATGTCCTCATGTGTGCAGGTACCTAAGGAGGCCAGAAGCATAGGTTCCTCAGAGGAACAGTTATAGGTGCTTGTGAGACATCTGAAATGGGTGCTGGGAACCAAACCTGGGTTCTTCTTGAGAGCAATACATGCTCTTAACTGCTGAGCCATCTCCCTAGCCCCAAAAAATTCTTACAAGATGTGTGTGAGTATATATTATGTATATATTACTCTGATTCTGCCACATGTGTGGAAGTCAGAGGACGGTTTGTAAGAGCTGGCTTTCTCCTTTTACCACTTGTGTTTCTGAGGGCAAATTCAGTTGTCGGGCTTGGCAGCAAGTGCCTTTAACTGCCCAACCATCTCAACAGCCCTTACTGCCTTGTTTTTATTAGTATGAATATTCAGCCCTAGCAGTGTTTCTCTACAGCCAGGGGTGATCTAACACAAAGTTTTATTCTACCTGCCTGTAGGTTCTTTGTTACCAAGGGGAACAAGGCACAACCATTGTCTGGCCAGCTTGAGCCATGCACTGCAGTCACAGTGCTGTATTTCCTGTCCCAGCAACTGGACAGGCCAGCAGTACAGACCCTACAGCTTCTTCACCAAATGTGAGTAGAATGATAAACTTCTCTTTTCATGGAGCCAGATAACAGAAGGTGCTTGTGCTTTCGTTTGTCTTCTTTCTTAAACATTTTATAATAGCTGGTTATGACTAGTTTATAATATCTGGTTAAAATAAAGCATTCCTTAAAATACCCCCTAGAATTACCTACATATTATCAGTTGTACAATTGATAACAAGTTTACTTTGAAGGCTAGGGAGTGTAGCTCAGCAGTGGAACATTTGTCTAGCAAATGTAAGGTTCTTCATTTGGAACACTTGAGGTCTAAGTAGTATTGGATCATGGCCAAATACCCTGCTGATTTAGAGCCCTGCCAGAAAAAAAAAGATACATTGGTGCTCTCTTTTTCTGGCCCCTCCTAGGCAGTTGACTGTGTCACGATGAAGCTCACTGCCTCCTTTCTAACCATTGGCTGTCAAAGCTCATTGAAGTGGGTAATGAACGCCAAGCTTTGTACTTTCTGTGAGAAGCACTTGGTCACAGAGGTAGCTGCGGATGCTCTGGGTGAAAAGTGGAAGGATTTTGTGGTCCGAATTAGTGTTGGGAATGACAAACAAGGTTTTTCCGTGAAGCAGGGTCTTGACCCACAAGAGCTCACCTGGTATCGATCGAGTCAAGGGCATCCTTGTTATGACCAAGGAGAACTGGAGAGGAGTAGTGCAGGTGTGTTAGAGCGTGCTCTGTGGATGCCAGTCTGGGTGGGTCCTTGTTAAAAATAGTAGAGAAGGGGATTCCTGGACTGTTGTAGTAAATAAAATTGGTGTTTAGCTCTATATTATTTATTATTTGCCCTATGATTACCACAGCGGCATTATTTAACCCGCTACCACAAATAAGACAGAGACACCTGTTAAATTTTATAATTGCCTTATTCACCTAAGGCTGGGCAGTATTTCACCTACACCGTCTCAGTAACCTCACCATCCACCTCAGCCCCATCCAGTGCCATCTGCCTTAACCATTCTATTTGGGCTACCTTCCTTCCATAAATAAATAAATACTTGCTTTTATTCTTCATCTGGGCCTTTCCATGGCATTATTGGAGTTCTTCCTCTTGGCCCACACATGGTTCCTTCTCCAGCTAACCCGTTGAGGCATCCTCCTTCCTCCTTTCTTCTTGTCCATCTGTCTCCTGTGATTACCTTAGCCACACCTACCCCATTCTGCCCTGCCCAGGTTTTAGGCCTTTAATCAACCAGTCCAGGTATAATGTCTTAGGCAGGTTTACACAACAAGGGTCGGTTTATTCAGGCATTAACCAGATCTTGAGGGCCAGTAATTACCATCAAAATACCAGCATCAGACCAACTCCCAACACTGGACTGACAGAGACTCTTGCCCTCAGCTGTTGAGGTCCAGAAGAACTCACAGGAAATGAAAGCTTTTCAGTCTGTAAAGAAACCCACAATATGTTGTCAGAAAGCCTTAAACAAGAAGAAGCCCAAGACCATCTTGTTACTTCAGGTGTCCTGCAACACAAATGCTGACATGTTGCTCTGAAGAAACAACACACTAAGAAAAACGAGGAGGAGGCTGCAGAATACACTAAACTTTTGACCAAGAGAAGGAAGGGAGCCAAAGAAAAATACCCAGAACAGACTGTCAAGAGACGTAGGCTGTCTTTGCTAAGAACTTCTACTTTTGAGTCCAGTCAAAAATAAGTCTAGTTTCAGAGTAACAAACAAATGATCAGATTTTCAGATCTTAAAGCAAAACGAAACAAAACACCCAAACCAATCTACTGGCTCCGTTTAGTTGTGCCTTTTAGCTGAGGAGGTAGACTAATCAGGGAAAGGTAATTTTAAGTAGCATTATTTTTGGATACTATCCCTATTTACAATAGTGTCACTGGCCTGGAACTCATTTGTTAGGCTGGCCAGCAAGCCCCAGAGAGTCACCTTGTCTTCTCTCCTGTGCTGGGATTGCAAGCATGTGCTACCATACCTGGCTGTTTTCACATGGTTCTGTGATCAGAGGTGTGCCCTGTGCTTGCAAGGTGCTTGCACTTTACCCACTAAACCATCTTCCCTTCCCTGGCTTCATTTTTATTATTATTATATAAGTTGATAATGGAATAAAATCTAGTTATAAAATAGTTGGTGAACTTGGAAAGATGAAATTTAAACACAATGCTTCTTCAAGTTCATGCTTAAATTCCTGCTGACTTTCCTCGGTGATGGACTGTGAATGGAACTGTGAGCCACACACAGGTGCTCCTCTCCTTCGGTGGTTTTGGTCAGAGTGATTTATCACAGCCACAAAGACTAACCTGGGATAATAGAATACTTATTACTCCAGTGGAGATGTTACTGTGGAGGCAAGAAAACAGGGAAACAGTTTAAGTCATAGCTGACCAGATGTCAGAAAAACAGGCCTGCTGGTAGGGACCTGGACTCGGGGTCGGCTGTCTTTTGTGAAGAGTAAAAGTATCATACTTTTCCACATGTGAATGTGTGGTGCGCAAACAGAGTGGCTTTTTGTTCTTCTAATGTCACTGCAGAGGTGTACATGAATTGGCTTCTTCTGGCCGTTTTATTCAACAGGAGACCTTAGATGATTGCTTTAAGAGTGCAGAATTTAAAGCAGCAAACTCTGTTTCATTGCAGTGACTGCAGAAGAACTCTGGAAAGGTGCGTTAGCAGAGACTGGCGCTGGAGCAAGAAAAGGCAGAGGCAAAAGAACAAAGAGAAAGAAGAAAAAGGATTTGAACAGAGGCCAGATCATTGGTGAAGGTAAACTTAAACATCTAATCTCCTGTTTTGTATATCCCAGGCTGGCCTTGAACTCATGATCTTTCTGCCTAAGCCTCCCTGGAACTAGGATTAGACACTTGTGCCAGAACTCCCAGCTAATGTGCTGACCTTTGTATAAAATGTATATCTAGTATATCTTGTCAGGTAAAAAAAATGCAAGGATTGTAGAGGACATTGAATGTCTCCTTTCAGTCGCCTCTAGTCCTGTTGCCTCCTCCTGTCTTGTTTTGTTAAGTTTCCTTTAATATTTTTCAATGCTTTTATATAAATGCCTTTCTGAAGATAATTTAATTATTCTGTGTGCTCTGCAGTGGAGCTGTCACCTTGACATACTCTGGAGTCACCTGGGAAGAGCCTCAGGGAGGGGTTGTCTAGGTCAAGTTGGCCTTTGGGCATGTTTATGAGGGACAGTCTTGATTTTGTCAATTGACACAGGAAGACAGTCTAAAAGTAGGAGGCACTGTTCTAGGAGTTTGGGTCTGGGGCTGTATCACAAAGGAGAGAGTGAGCTCTCTCTGCTCTTGACTGTGGTTGTGGCTAGCTGCCTTGTTCAGTGGTGGATGGGAACCTGGAACTGTGAGTCAACATAAAATCTTCTAAATTGCTCTTGTCAGAGTATTTATCATAGTAGAAAAGGAAGTTAGGATATGCTGTCTTAAATTTTGCTTCAGTAGTTGTTCAGTAGTAGGTCTAGGAAATCAGTCCACATCAGGCCTTAGAAAGTGACTTCTCTTTGGATTTCATGCAGAATATCCTACATACCAGCTGTGCCATTTGGCCTGAACACTTAGGACAGTGCAGTTTCGGCTTTTGCAGTAATAGTTCAGTGGATATGCTTATCTATGCCCTGTATGCCTTGTCCTGATATGAGAGTCTTGCTTTAGGTGGTAAGGATTGCAGTGATTTAGCCCGCACACATTTACAATTTTGACAGCACAAAGTGGCATGCTGAGCAATCATGTTATTTAAGCTGAACCAACCTGGGTTATCTGTTCATATCTTGTTTGGCGTTTTGATACTGGAAAAATGAATCTTCAAACTCTTATCTATGAATATTTTTAAATCTTCAGGGCGTTCTGGCTTTCTGTGGCCTGGTCTGAATGTACCTCTTATGCGAAGTGGAGTAGTCCAGAACATTGGCCAAAGAAGCAAAGAAGAACAGGAGAAGGTGGAGGCCAACATGGCCCAGCAGAGAGAGGAGTGGGACCGGAAGAGGAAGATCAAAGTTAAACGGGAACGTGGTTGGAGTGGACACACATGGGGCGGTGTCAGCATTGGTCCCCCAGACCCGGGACCCAATGGAGGTAGCTGAGTTCCCATCTTACTTGCCTTGTGACAGGGCTAGGGTGCTTTTTGAAATAATTTTATTTACTGTTTAGGTTTCTTTTTTCCTGTAAAGGGCTTGAGCATCTTTGGATTACTTACAACGTTATTGTCCAAATTGTATTGTAAGGAACACAACCAAAAAGTGTGGATAGAATTTTCTATAATAAGTTAAGCTCATGTAGTTACTCTAACTAAACTCAGTAGTTTTTGTTTTTGTTTTTTTAAAGGAAATAAGAGACATGCTTCAGGGTGAGTGGGAGGGGATGAGGAAGGAGAATGAGGGTGATTCTGATGAAAGTAACATTACACACATGTAAAAATGTCAAAGAATAAAAAGAATATTTTGAAAAGTTAAAAAACAGAGTGTGGAGAATGAGGTACAAAACCACCATAGCTGAGGGTCTTGGCAGAACTAGAGACTGTGAGTTTTAAATGACTGAGTGTGTAATTCTTTGAATTCTGTCCAGCCATGCCCATTAGTCGGGGTGTGGCCAGAAAGCTGTCCTGATTCAGGAAAGGGAGTGTGGGAAGAAGGTTGGGGAGTTTGGAAAGTGATGGGCTTTACTGTCTTGGCCCAATGGCAAATGGTATTCAAAGCTCTGGAGGGCTCTTAGAGCTGATAAGGCAGAGCACTGGAGATGGGAGAGGGTGATCCAGTTCGTAAGTCCAGAGTTAGAACAATCTGTTGAGGATAGGGGACCAGGACATGGCATTGACAGGGGTACCAGAGAACCCGAGATTTTTAACATTAGAGTCTGTGATGGGGCTGGGATGTAGCTCATTGGTGGAAGGCTTGTCTAAACAAACACGAGGCCCTGGGTTTGTTCCTCATTAATAACCCCCAACAAAGCAAAATATCTGTGAATGTGCCTATGTTGAAAAATACTTTCATGTGTTACTACTACAGACTCATTTATCTTTATGCTTTGTCTTTCTTCTTATAGAAACATATGAAGACTTCGATACCAGGGTTCTCGAGGTAGGCACACAGAATTAAGTACCCTGCCAAGTCTCTCGGGAGGTTAGGTTGTGAGGAGTAGGGCTGGGGCAAAAGAACTGGAGAGAAAAGCTTTCGATGGTGGCCGTCTCTCAGATGCAGAGCTGATTTGGGTAAGGAAATAATGAAATAATGAAACTTCCTGTTAAGTTACTTAGTATTGCCTTGTTTCCCTTCAGCGTCCAAATTGAGAACTCATGACAAGACAACTTCATCAGTTGTTTAATAACAGATTTGGAGCTTATGTGTATATCCTTCCATTCTAAAAGCTCAAGAAGGGTTAGTTTATCACTGAGTTAAAAACCAATCAGATCCAGCACTCAGTTTGAGGGACTTGGGTGAGGTGGAGCATGAAGGTGGTTGTCTGGTTTTGCTGGAGATGAGCTCTGGGCTCGTGCCAGCCCTTGAACTGAATCCCCGATGAGATGAACTTCCAGAGCACACTCTAGGATAGTCACTGCCCTCGGCCTAGCACTGCACACTTTCTGTGCAGTAGCCTGGGAAGCAGCCACCTGAGCGGGAACTGGGCGGAGCATGCCTCTGTCCTGCCAGGCACAGCGTGTCCATCAGTATTGCTGTCATTATCCAAAAGTAGAGATTTTGAAAGCAAACTTCGATTATGTTGATAGTTTCCTGTATGATAATCCACAAGAGCAGATGCAAGCTCCCTTTTTTCTTTAATTCCATTTTACAGTAAAGGGGCAGCCTGAACCCCGTAAGTGGTTTAGTTAACAGTGTCATAGTTTACAGCCTTTAAAATGTGTCAGATTAAGCCAACCAAACAAACCACCTGCAGATTTCTTTTGTAGTTCATCATAAGCAGGCATTTTCAATCTATTTCCCATTAAGCCTAATCATTACCCATTGACCCAGTCCTATGCAGTTATTTCTGTGTGCTGTGTTTCACCATATGCAGCTAGTTTAACATCTTTGTTGCTGGACTGGCTGTCTCTTATACCATACTGATGAGCCATTCCATTTTAATCCATAGTGTTTTTCTTTCCTGTGGCACCTTCATTAAGGAAAGTGGTTTTGCATAAGTTTCAAATTTCCTTTTCAACATCTCAGTTGAATCCTCCACTAAGCCTGTGAAACAGAAAAAGAAAGTGTTCCTTTCATTCTCTTCCTGAGGAGATGGCCCAGAGGGCAGCTTTGAGAGCCTTTGATGGGAGAAAGTCTGTTTGTCTTACAGCCCTGGAAGGTGCAGTACCCACAGGCTGGGAATGTGACTGGGACAGGGAGGAGTACCACTGGTCTCCTTCAGAATTTTCCTAAGGTGATATTGATGAGACATTTTGTCTTCTAGGTAAGAAACGTTTTCAATATGACAGCGAAAGAGGGAAGAAGGAAGTCGATCCGTGTCCTGGTTGCTGTGGGGAACGGAAATGGGGCTGCAGGTGAAGGGAGTAGTGTGGAAGTTGGGCTTGGCCTGGCCTTGCTGAAAACCTGAGAGTCCATGTTGCTGGCCTGGTCTTTCCAGTCAGTTAAGCTGTTTAGTGGTGTGGGCTCACAGACCCAAATTTTTACCACATAACAAAACCTAATAAATACAGCTTGTACTTTTCCTGGTGGAGGAGTAGGGGAGACTGCTTGCAGTGAGGTCGCTGTCTTTTATATGTTGATAAGAATCACCAGATTGCCTCCCATCATGCCTCTGCCCCTCGTACTGTCAAGCTTCAGAGATTGACAGCATAATGTGAGCATGCTTTGACTTGCATATCTTTAATTAGGAAGTGTGGGCACAATTTTGCATGTTTTTTGACCATGCCATTTTCTTTTTGAGCTTTGTTAGTTCATGTGTTTGGCCCAATTTTTATAAAGTGGTGGTTGTTTGCTTAAACAACCATTAGCATAAACTTTATGTAAGTCGAAGGCATATGTCAGCCCACTGCCTTTCAGATGCTTTGACTGAGTTTTTTTCTTCACAGTGTTAAATGCAGAGATGTTGTAAGCTTTTATATAGCAGACCTGTCACTCTTCCAATTTTGTGCTTTGCTTAAAGAGTCTGTTTTGAGGATTATAAATAAGTCTGCTCATATTTTCCTCTAGGATATCAATGGTTTTGTTTATTTCATTTATCTGAAAATTAGAACTCATGGGAACTCTTTGTCCCGGGTCTCAGGTATCCTGAGTGTCTCGTGTCTTATAGATGATGCTTCTCCTTGTGTAACGTACAAAGTAAATCTTCACTGCAATAATTAATATAGACAGCAGGTGTCAGGAGCTCTCCAAGAACCTATGAAAAGCCTTATTTAAAATAATCATAGGGTGAAGGACAACTGTATGTCTACCCGCTGCTTACAGTCTGTTTCCAAAGGTGTTAGAAATCATTTGCCTGTTAACTTAGGACGTATTTCCTTTTAAGACCTGAGTGCAGGGGCTGGCAAGATAGCTCAAGGGTTAAGAGCATTGCCCTTTCGGAAGACTAGGGTTTGGTTCCCAGTGCTCACATGGCAGCTCACAACTGTTTGTAACTCCAGTGCCAGGGATCTGACACCTCTTCTGACCTCCTTGAACTCCTGTATGCATGTAGTACGTAGACATACAGTATGACACATACACATACAAATATCAATTAATTAATTAATATCTCAGAGCTAGGCGTGGTGTACACTTTTAATCCCAGCACTTAGGAGACAAAGACAGGTGTATCTTTGAATTCAAGGCCAGCCTTGTCCACAGAGTGAGTTCCATGACAGCCAGGGCTACACAGAGAAACCCTGTCTCAGAAAAGCAAATTAAATAAATAAATGAATAACCCATTCTCACTTCACTTCAGAAGAGATTTATTAAAAGCAGTGTAGTGTATTGAATGTTGAATTTTATGAACATATTCAAAAGTAAAATGTTCAGAGCGGACATATGAAGCCCTGTGTTTGTGCTTGCTGGTTATGGGAGCAGCTTTTCTGTGGGTGATGGGAAGATGTAGTGCTTGGAAATACAGTTGGCGCCAAATGCAGTTGGGCTGTGGTGAAAGCATGTTGCATGCAGAGCTGCTTCTGTTCCACATCTTTGCTTTTTCTTTGGAAGGTTTTGCTGTTGGGAAAGCTACTGAGCGGGCAGACGCCTTCAGAAAGGTATGTGCTTTATCTTTCTGCTTGTTTGAGACAGGGTCCTGCTGTGACCGCCAGATACTCCTCCAGAGAATTGCGAGTTCACGTGTATTGCTACAACATCTGGCTACATAGAGTTTTCTTTCTCACATTTAGTAAAAGATAATGAACTATGTGTTAGACAACCTGGGAACCATAAGAAAATAATACCTTGTTCTAGAACCTTCTCAGGCTTGCTGTCAAAGGTTTCTTACCTCATAAGCCATTTCTCACGTGCCTGTTACAGACCTGTCATTGCTGTCTGTTATGAGCCTGCTGTGGGGACTTTCATTCTGAGAGGCTGTTCAGAGGCACTCAGGAGGATCGATAAGTGGAGCAGTGAAATTATGCTTACAGGTTTTATTGTTTTCTTAAGTACTAAAATTTTCATATAGGTGGAATAGCTTGTAATAAAATGTTTTGTAAAAAAATGTTTCTGAACTCCAACAAGAAGCCAGACATGGTGCACACCTCTGTGATCCCAGCACTTTAGGGGCTGAGGAGGGGGATTTAAGTTTGAGCAGAATACATAGCAAAATCCTGACTCAAGAGAAGGTCTCTCTAGAGAGTAGAGCCCTGGCTGTCCTGGAACTCACTATGTAGACTAGGCTGACCTTGAACTCAGAGAGATCTCTGCCTCCTGAGTGCTAGGATTAAAGGTGGGTGCCACAACACGAAGCTATCCAACAAAATATTTAAGAATTCTTTTTCTTTTTCTCTTTTTTATAGGCAAAGAACAGAGCTATTCATTATTTGCATTATATAGAACGATATGAAGACCATACAAGTGAGTGTGGGGCATTTCTTTGGAAGTTTGCAGGAATGTATCTGGTTCAGAATGTCTGGCAAGATATTTTCGTGTTTCTGTTACTCCATTCTTATAAATGCATGGAATATAAAAACAGATCTAACCTGGAGACCAGCATGTTTCCATGCTTGGCCACTGAGTGCTGCTGTTGGGGCAGGAGGTATTGGTTTTTGATATTGCAGAGCTGTTCAACCTCTCACCTGACCCTTCTTGTATGTGTGTTTTTTCCTCCAGTATTCCATGATATTTCATTAAGATTTAAAAGGACACATATCAGCATGAAGAAACAACCCAGAGGTAACTAGCTCACCATTTGTTAAGAGAAATGGAGAGACTGCAGCAGCCGGGTCTTCTGCTCTTTCTGTTCACCTTTCTTGATCTTTTGGTTTTTTTCGAGGCAGTTTCTTCTCTGTGTAGCCTTGCCTGTGCTGAACTTGCTTTGTAGATCAGGCTGGCCTCAAACTCACAGAGATCTACCTGCCCTGGCTCCCCGAGTGCTGGGATTACAGGCGTGTGCTACCTCATCCAGCTACCTTTCTTGAACTTTCGTAGGCATTTTTTTCAGCTGAGGTTCCCTCCACTCTGATGACTCTAGCTTATGTCAAGGTGACAACCACTAAGCTATGTCCCCAGATCTTCCTCCACACCGAGTGCCCATCTTCTGTGAGGTCTCTGCTGAAACACTGGGCATTTGGAAATGGCTCTTCCTGCCTTTTGGAGAATCAGGCAGAGTTTATGCTAGTGACTGTGACTATCCCCGGGGCTGTGATAGTCATCCCCATGGTCCCTGTAGATTCATTTGCATTTCACCTGCAATTCTACAAGCAAAAACTGGTCTCAGATAACCCTGGTCATAGAAATTGCTAAGTGTTTGGGTCTGAGTAGTTCAAACATTTAAAATTTTATTTCAAAGCTTCTAATACAGTTCTGCTAGAGCTGTGGGGTAAAACACCATCACCCTTCACAAAACAAACACTCACATCAACCTGTTAATGCATCAACACTTGCCTCCTGCTTCTCGGCTGTAACTGTTCACTCAGATGCCTGCTGACCCCTTTGTTCCACAGAATGGCTGCCAGCTAGTAGGTGATTGTGTATTTCGGATGTGGCTCTTGACATCACTCAAATCAAACACCCACCACATTTCCTATGGAAAAAGGATGTCAAGACTCCTCTCATATTGTATGAAGTACATTTTGAAGTGGTACTTATTTTGACCTGTTAGATTAATAAAAAATATTGCTAAAAAATTCTTTATTCTTAAAACAACTTTAATTTATCTATGAGAAAAATTCAAATAACATGGCTTCTGTTTGTGGCTTGCATTGCCTTTTTTTGTTGTTGTTGAGAGTGCTGGTTTAGATACGTTTATTCTCTAAATGCAGAGGCTGGAGCGTATGAAAGCCAGCAGAGTGAGTGACACCTGCTGTAGGAGAGCTGTTGGGTGTTTCATTATGATCTTCTTGTAGGTTATGGCCTCCGCTGCCACAGGGCCATTATCACCATTTGCCGTCTCATTGGCATCAAGGACATGTATGCGAAGGTCAGTGGGTCCATGAACATGATGAACCTCACCCGGGGCGTCTTCCATGGACTTAGCCGTCAGGTAAGCTCCTGGGTGGAAATGCTCGTTTGTGTTTCAGGCTCTGCTGCTGTGTGGCCTCCTCCAGGTTTAGAGGGATTCTGCTTTAGAGGGATTCTGATCCAGTCCTGGCCTCAATAAAAAACTGAGGCTCTCACCTCTTAGGAAATACACTCTTGCTTATTAATGGTTATCGGTCCAATTAGCTCAGGTCAGTGTGAACCATTTGTGGGTAACACAAAGACTCATTGTGCTCCTCCCAAATGGAGGGGCCATAGGTGCTTCACCAAATCCAACAGATAGGACTAAGCTAGCAAATGGACTTTCTCTTTTTATTTGGTATTTTCATGTAGTTGAACAACTAGACCAAGTATGTTTTAATGATAGAACAATGTAATTACTGACTTTCTAAATACTGAAGTTTAAACTTGAAGAAGTCCATGAGGCATTTGTTTAAAAGTTACTTTGAGTGGATTGACTATCTGGTGCAGTCATAGAAGCAAAGAGTGTCATGTCCTCTAAGAGGTGGGATCCTGCGTTCTGTCCAGTGGGGCCTGGCTCATGGTCCTTCCACCGCTTATGGAGGGAAAGGTTTGTGACTGCGAGCCCTCTGGCAGCCCTGTGACCTTGGCTTGGTCTTCCTCCATCTGAGCTATTTTGCTGAGGTAAATCTGTATGGACCCACCCTCCCAGTCTCACTGAGGTATTTCTCAAATAAAATGAAATAGTTACTTCACTTCTCTAAGCTCCGAGAGTTCTTGATGCTGGCTTCCTTCCAGTTGACAGGAGCCCTGACCCTCCAAGTTTCAGGTGGCCTTCACAGATCTAATCTGTTCTCCACTTGCTGTTTTCCAGGAAACCCACCAACATCTGGCGGATAAGAAGAGTCTCCATGTGGTGGAGTTCCGGGAGGAATGTGGCCCTCTGCCTATTGTAGTCGCCTCCCCACGGGGGCCCTTGAGTAAGGAGCCGGAGCCTGAGCCCGAGGTTCCCGACACCAAACTGGACTGGGAAGAAGTGAAGGCCATGCAGGGGATGAAGCACTCTGTGTGGTCTGACTTAAAGAGATCCGCCACCTGAGCGCCCGCAGCCCGGGCCAGCCGGTGCCTGGAGGAGGCTGTCCCTCACCTTTTGTTTTCTTAAAGAAATCTAACCGTTTTTCAAATAAATAATTATAGATTTGGTTTGCTGAGCATGTGGTATATAGCCATCGGTATGATGGGAATGTTACGTGCAAATGCCAGGAGGAATTCAGTATTTAAACTAGGAAGTGTGAGTGGAATGGGAGATAGCTAATGGACCCACCAGTAGTGAACGGCACCAGCCATTGCTGCGCTAGCTAACGGTGATGCTTACTCCTGAGTCACCCAAAAGTGAATGTTTTCAGTTTTACGGAGAGTTGAATAGCCTGACTGGCTGAGCCACTGTCAGCCGGTTTCCCCGGCAGCTGCACGTGTTGTGTATGTTCCAGAACTATGGTCCCAGGCTTTCTCCTCACCCTTGGTCGTGTTTCCTGGGCTTTGGGTGGTAGTTATTCTGATGTCTCTAAAGTGGTGTCTCACTCACTGTCACCTTGAGTGCCCTCATTGCCTTGCTAGGCATTCGTGTGTGTTGTGGATGAAATGTCCAGTCAGATCCTTTGCCCACTTAAAAATTTGGGTTATTTGTGTTTTTCTTTTTTTTTTTTTTTAATTTATTTTTATATACATTTGACATACATATATATATATATCTATGTAAGGGAATCAGATCCACTGGAACTTGAGTTATAGACCAGACAGTTGTGAGCTGCCGTGTGGTTGCTGGGAAGTGAACCGGGGTCCTCTGGAAGAGCAGGCAGTGCTCTTAACCGCTGAGCCATTTCTCCAGCCCCCTGTGTGTTTTTCTTATAAGCTGTGATTGTTCTTTTTGTATTCTAGATACAAATCTATCAGATATAACATACAATTAGGTCCTGGTTTTTCGTTTGTTTTGTTTCGGCTTTGGGGGGGGTGGGGTTGGTTTTGTTGTTGTTGTCTTCCCTGTTAGACTTGCCTTACTGACCTATTATTGGTGTTTTTAGGTCATTGACATAAAGTTGTTGCAATATAGTGAAATCAGTGTTTGCCAGTATCAATTATCTTTTTTTTTTTTAGTAGTTATGCTCGAGTTTGCTTTATACATTTATAACTAATCCAGGTCTCCCCTCAGCAGCACCATCCTGCTTCATAGGCAGTTTAGTCAGGTACCTTACCCTAATGGAGGTTCAGTTCCTGCCTCCTCCCCTCCTGCTCCTGCTGCCGTGCAGGCCACATAGACCTGAGCAGTGCTCACTGCTCACTGTTACTGTTATGGTTTTTAGTAAACCTCTGTTAGAGCAAGGAAGGAAAGTTTAAAGTGTTGGTTTTTTTGTTTTGCTTTTTTCACATTCTTGGATGTTCTTCTTTCCCTAAGTCTGTTTCTGACCTCCACCACCTTCTCTTCTTGTAGCTTAGCTTACAGGCAGCTTCGTTGGTAACAAAGCCCATTAATTGTCAGCCTGTCTCACCCTTTGAAGGACAGTGTTACAGGGCACAGAACTGTGGGTTTGTGAGGCTTCTCTCACGGTTTCTGAGAAGTTGGGTGTATTGCTTATTTCTGCTCCTCTATACAAGCGTCTTTTCCTCTTTAAAGACGTCTTTCTCCTTTTTCTCTGGTCTTCAGCAGTTTAACTGTGATGTGCTGGGGGAGGGTCGTACAGTTCCTAGCCCCATCCTCCCTTCTCCTTTCTGCTTTGTAAGTGTCTCTTGATGTAACCACCAACTAGAGGTCCTTCTCTTCAGTCTAGTAATGAGCCCATTAAAGATGCTCTTTGTTTCTCTGCAGCATTTTGGGTGTTTCGTTTTTGTTTGTTTAATTCATATTTTGAGAGAGGGTGTGGTGGTTTGAATGAGAATGGCACCATAGGCTCCTCTGTTTGGACGCTTGGTCCTGTTAGAACTGTTTGGGAAGGACTAGGAAGTGTGGCCGCGGGAGGAGGCGTGCCGCTTGGAGCGGGCTTTGAGGTTTCAGACACCCGCACCAGGCCCTCTTTATCTCTCTGCCTGCTGAAGATAGACGAAGATGCAAAGCTGTCAGCCCCATGCCTGCTTGCCTAGTGCCATGCTTCTTGCCAGTCCTCTGAAACTGTAAGCAAGCCTTGGTCATGGTTTCTCTTCATTTGCCCAGCATGTCTAAGGCCCTGGGTTCAGGGCCCTGCACAAACATACCCTCAAAGGAAATTTTTTTCCAGTGTTACATTATTTAAGGCTATAGATAGAAGCTAATTATTATGAAAGAAATACCTTTAAGTTAGATACGTTAGAAACGTATCTAAAATTTTTCTTAACTAGACTCCACAGGAAAATGGTTGGGTCTGGTGGTGCAGGAGTTGAAAGCATGAATGGTATATGTCATGGTGGTGTAGTGATGGTTTCACGGTGTGTACATGCATCAAGACTGACAAGAGTATGCTTTTAAAATACTGTGAAAGGGCCTTACCTTGGACGCTTGAGTTAACCTCCTTCCACGAATGCAGAGGGCGGATGACAAAGGGTGAGCAGACAAGTAGACAGAGGGGAACTTTGGTTTGTTTGTTTGGTTTTGCTAGTTAGGAGCAACAATCCAAATGCAAAGCATTCTGAGATGCAGCTGGGAGAGCTTTCCAGTGTGACAGCTCTAACCTCGGCTGGGCTCTGGGTGGCAGGAGGGAGACTGTCAATAAATGTTACAATTCTGAGCTCTCAAAGAGTCTCGGCATGCCCGGAGAGAGCAATCCTTTGCAAAGCCAGTCTGCAGAGCACAGGTCCTGGTCCTTGGAATTCTGGGGCTCTGCCCGCTACTTGCAGGCAAAGTGGCAGAACAAGGGCCCCTCAAGGCAAGGTGAACTGCCTTCCATTGGCATCAGAAGCCTCATCTAGCAGGAAGGAGTAGGGGCCAGTTACGTCTGCACATGGTGGGCCTTCTGAGGGTCTGGCTGGGGAGTGGAAGTCACAGGAGCATCTTGCTGTGACACATCTCTGGGAGCCAGACTCTGAAATCTTCAGGTTTTCTTTGAAGAAAACAGGATGGTCTGGGAACTGCCCCACCCCGACCCCAGCTGGGAGGCAGCAGAGGTGATGTGCCTGGTTACATAGAGCCTGTTGGGGCCCTAATTGGTCGGGTGTGTGCAAGTTGTTAGGATTTATATAAAAATGATGCCATGTGCACAACATATTATATAAAAGATATTTATTGGACAGAGATAGAGAGAGAAAGACAGGGTTCCCCCAGGAGAGAAACAGGCTGAGAGAATACAAGAGAAGAGAGAACAGAGCAAGAGAGAGAGAAGTAAGAGGCAGGGGTCCATTTATCCTGGGCCCCTGGCAGTGGCGACCAGTGATAGCATCCCAGGTGTCTAAGCAACCTGAGAGTGGGCTAGCGCATCAAGACTGTGAACTAACATTCCTCCTTTTCCTATAATTAGAGGGGAAGGTAGGGAAGGCTGTCAAGGTGGGAATGAGGGTGCTTGACTGCTCATGCAAGGCAAGGTAAAGCATGGAAATGTGGGTTCATTTGAGGGAGCTCTTGGCTGCCAAGGAGGGAGGTAAGAGAGAGTAAGGAAGAGTAAGAGCACTAAAAACTTCAGATTACATGGTGAGGAGGAGGGGAAGCCCCTGCCCTGGAAAGTTCAGGGTAGAGGGTGGAGTTTGCCAGCCATGCACTGCAGCAGATAGAGATTGAGGAATGCTGGGAGAACCTAGAGCTGTTGTTCCCGGGCCAGAAGCACATCATTCCAGCCTTTTGTTGATAATAAATGTATAACGGGTGAAGAAATCAACCATCTTTGGCTACTTTCTGCTGACACTGGGACGGCAATAGGGAGGGCAAAAGGCTGAAATATTGGCCAAGTCCAGAAAGAGCAGGCTGTTGTACTTGCTGTCCAGGATCTGTGAGAATATCTGTGGCCGGGAGTGAAAGTGCAGGTCTGGCCCAACACAGTCTGTGAGGTTAGACTGAGATTGAAGCACCTGGCGGTGGTTGCTTTGGCGCTGTCATGGGTATAGGAAACACCTGGGTCTGGCAGGACACGGAAATATATTATTTGGGTAGAAGACTTTGCTAAGTAGGTTAGGGAGAAAATTCCTTTAGGTCTACATTTGAAACTTTTGGAAGAGGGAGCAGAGGTAGAAGAAGAGACTTGAACATAGGAACCCCATTTACCCGATCGTCGGCAGTAATTAAAAGGGTTTTATTTTGGATCTGTCATCTAAGGGAAATTGAGGCCAAGTTTTGTTGCAGAGGCATGTAAGCTTGCCCTTAAAGCGGTTGCTAGGTGTAGAAATCTGAATTCTGTAGAAGGTACCCCAGAGGAACGGGAGAATGGACCACTCCCATTGGGCAGGTAGGAGTCAGTGACCCTGAAAGGATCAGGCTAACTTTGTAACCTTTATGTCTTCTAAAATCTATATTTTTGAGTTTTAAGCCCAGGTTAAGTTAAAGCCTCTTAGTACTTTTCCAGAGAACAGAGGAATGTGACCCTGGCCATCTGTGAGGACAGAGATAAAAAAGAGAGCAAGCAACAACCTTTGCTCAGCAAAAAGAATGATCAGACCCTTGTCTTCAAGATAGCGTTTCTTAGCAACCAACCCAGATGGCCTCTGAGTAGTCCTTCTGAGTAGCCCCTGACCTCCAGCCAAAAGCCCACAGCCCCAATCTTCAAGGATGAGCTAATCACCCCCACCCCCACCTTTAATTGCAGCCACATCCACACTTAGCAGGACTGGAAGACTAACCAATTATTTTACCCTTATAGCTTCCTCATCCAATCCCGAATTGCCAAGACTGCAACCCCTGAAAATTCCCGTGCCTTGTCTTTTAAAAACCCAAGGCCTTTGTCTCCCAGGGCCACTCTTTGCTGACTAGCAGGGGTGACCCCATTGCACAGTGGTCAAAATAAGCCTCTTGCAATTTTGCATCGATTGAGCTGGTCTCCTGAGTTCACCTCATCTACCTCCTGGAAATTAGGCTTGTGTTGGGCTTAATAACCCATCAAGGTATCCCAAGAGCAAGGTGTGACTCAGTAGATTGGTACAATCTGTTCCAGCAGCTCATCAGCATTGGTCAGAGACCGAGGGCACAATTGCCTGTAGTGGACGCAGTTACCAAGCACTAGGATTTTGTAGACAAGAGGTGGAAGGAGCGAAACCATGCTGG